ATTTAATTTCAAAGTAATAGTAATATATTAGTATAAAAGTCCTTAGCAAATAGCTGAGTTGAGCGAAGTTTCCTTTGTCCTTGAAATTATATATATATATATATATATATTCTGAATTTCAGATTTACGTGCTCCACAAAGAATCTTTATCCGGTCCGATAAAAAATGGGCTGAGTTTTTGCTCGTAATATCATAGGCATCTTCAGAAAAGTACCTTATTCTTAAGAAAACAATCGGCATTGCTTTACCTGTTTTTGTACTCACAAGTAAAAAGGAACCAAAAATGAACCAAAACAATGTTATCTCATGATATTAATCAAAACCTAGTTACTTAGAGCAGCATTACTTTTTGTATGGACTAGGACAACGCGTCGCCAATTTGCATAAAAATTCAGTTTTTAATCCCGTTGAGAGCCTTGATGAGATGCCGGTAAGGTCGAAGCTGCTGTCCAATCCGGATTGAAGGAAAAAAATATTTTAGGGGTCAAGGCCAAGTAAACTTCAATGGCGTCGTAAGACCTACACATTTGATCGTGTCAACTACAACTGACAATTGCCTTATCATTAAAGGCAATTATAAAATATTAATAGTAATTATCGTTATCATCATTATTTGTTGCACACAATTATGAAGTTATTATTATTATTTGTTGCATGCAATCATTAAAAATGGCCCGAATACTTTGAGTTTGTCTCCAAACCTATACCCCGAAGGGAGGCAGTTCCTCTTAAGCAGTTGAATTGAACGGAGGATGGAGCAGCTAAGCAAGAGGGCCACTTTTCATGTTGCAGGCCATGTTCGACGCTTCTTTCCAGCCAAATGCATGAGCTAGCGAAGGAAAAAACACTACTAGAATCAACTGGCAGAGCAAATTTGGCGTCAACAGAACAGTCGTTAGGGCTTCTAAGAAGAACATGAAGAGTGAGGCCAACCCCCAAAAGGAAAAGCATACAAATTCATGTGACGAACAGAAATAAGGTCCTAACTGGATGGCCAAGCATTCTCTAAGACTGGCATACATCTGCTACACCTGCGAAAATGAGCATCGGAATTTTCGGAACAAGAGAACTGGGTAGTTAGGACCGGGAAGAAAATAGTGTAAAAAAACAGACATTGAGTGTAGTTCTGCCCCACTGCAAAGCGAACACCAAGCTGAGCTCAAGAAGAGTCTTTAGTGAGCCAGATTTGCATAATATAGCAAAAAATGGAATGTCCTCAATTAAGGGTACAGCTTAAAGAACGATTTTTCTCTCTCTGTTTAGATGTACAAGATAATATTGGCCAGTTTTAATAGATAATGAAAGTGAGCGATTGCACAGTGGGTCTCTAGTTAGTCGCAGTGAACTTAAAAAAGGCACTTTAAATTTATAAAACGTATAGAGAAATTAATTTCCCATTCACAAAAACGTAAGTATCACCTGCTTGTATCAAGAATTCAATTTTATCACACTCTATCTTGCCATTTCGTTATAGGGCAAAAATAAACTGACGAATTTAATGCGAGTCCTTGAGTGAAGGCGGGTAGGTTTCTAGTTCTGTCGAATAGTTTCTCTCTATAAAGTTTAATTTTAAGCTCCACTCCGTATATTAAAATAAAACTTCCGAATGTTTAAAATAAAATTTTGGCTTATTTTGTTACCCAACGGAACACATATATTGGGGCAAAAGACTTTGGATAAATGTGGCATTATGAACACGTCATTTAGAAACCAGTCAACAATATCATAGTTACAGACTCAGTCGCTTGGATATTCAATAGCTGAGGCTTGTTTTGCGGCTGGGTCATTAGTAGTGACACTTCTTCAATATCGCAGACAGAAATGTAAAGTTATAGCAAGTGATGCCATACTCCTTAAAACTGAACATCGAATGCCATTGCAGACGAAACCGGCATATTAACAGTCTAAAGTGAGATCTTTTAAATAAAATGACACAACTTAGCCTCTGTCAAAGAGTGAAGCAGAAGCGTACAGTTAATAGGACAACTGCTTATGAAATCATCTTGACAAGAGGAGGGAAGGAAGAAACAGAAATAAAGAGGACTAATAGGCGAGAGACAAAGTTAAGCTTTCAAGTTGCTCAATTAGTTTCTACCTCAACCAAGAGATCATATGCCAACCTTGCAATTCAATATGCAAGTGGATGGAGGTGCATACACACATTGGAAAAGATCTACTGCATCACTCATTGGACTCCTCTCCGAGCTGTATGATGAAGAAAGAGGAGAGAACTGATGAGACTCTGAGAAAAGGAAGTGAAGATTTAACGTCAAACCTAAGAATTCGAGGGTTGGCAACTATAGCATAAGTCATCATGTGGAAGCAGCTTCGGTGTGACGAGCTTACACTTGAAATAATCTGTATTAAAATAACCTACTGTAATTTCATTTAAGAGCATGAAGATAAGCCTGTGTGGCTGTAAAGCTAAGAACACAAATTCATTGTTCGAATCCCGCTGGGAGGGCTCACGAAATATCAAAATGAGGTAGAGATGTTCTTTTGGGGAGCATGATGAGGTGAAATTCAATACAATTCACCTCAACTAGAGCAGAGAGAAAATATGTACACATCAAGAATTTTTACGGCAATCTGCCTCCTGCTAAAAACGAAAAGAAGAATTGCTAAAATAATGAAATTATTTTGGTTTTGGCATACTAAGAGGTCGAGAGGTGAGATGAAATATGCGGGCGGGAATTATGAGTCAAACAGTTGATGTGCGTGTCCAGTTCAAACAGCGGTTTCAGAACCTGATGTGGGAAATTAAGAAGTTGAAAGGTAAGACTAAACATCTAATTCCGGAAAGTAGGACAAGAATACATTTTCATTTGTGTGATGAGCTGAATAGAGAGAAGCGCATAGCCTCGGCGACAGACTTACAAGAGAAAGCTCAGATTTCCTTCAGTTGGACTGAATTTGATTTATAGAAAATCACGAAATGTCTTTTGTTCGGGGGACTTTCATTTCGTATGAAAGTGAATGAAGAAGAG